CTGGAAGGCAAAGTAGTTAAAATAAATCATTTGGTTTATTATTTCCTTTATGTTTTTATGTTTTTAAGAGAGTGAGTATGATACTTTGTGGTTAAGGTCTTACTTTAGTAAAGCCATGACCTCCTGTGACAGGTTTTACCCAGTTTTTATTTTAGCACAATTAGCACAACTAATATATCAAGTGAAGTGAATTTACAGTCATGAAAACAGTGCAGACTGCCTTTATCATCTAAAATAACTTGTTTTTCTCATGACTGGCAGTGCAATACCTTAACTTTTGATGATATCACTTCAAGGGATTTTTGTTATTATCAAGAAAACATTGAGATTGGCAGGGTATCATATTACTCAGCTTTTATTAACTTTTTTTTTTTTTTTTTGGTTTTCTTTGTATTTGGCCGAGACAGTTTTAGTAGTAAATTAAAATAAAGAAGAAATTGGGGACAAGTAGGTTGCTCTAATGTTTCTATTGCATTACTTTATAAAAGAATATTTTACTAACTGAGTCTTAGTGGCTCCAAAACAACAGTCTTAATGAGAGGATGGGGAATTAACCTTAATATTTTCAAGTTGATTTTCAAGTAAATTAATAAATGAGCTTTTATTGATCTCACATTGGAGATATTTACCTCTGCTTCCTCTTGGGGAGCAGTGGGCTGCCATTGTGCGGCGCCCAGGGAGCAGTGTGGGGTTAAGGGTGTTGCTCAGAGATCCAGAGTTGAGGCTGTGGGGATCGAACCGAGTAATTACAACCTTCTTGGACCACAGGCGCTGTGCTCTATCCACTAGGCTAACACTCTCCCTTATTTAACAGTCCAGCTTGTTACAGTGCAGATAGGAGTTTTCTCAACCTCCTAAAGAATATATATATTTTTTTTTTCAAGTAGTTTCTTAGATGAGATTAGATTTACAAAAGTCAATAATACTGAAAAAAGCTAACATTGTATCTTCAGAGTAATCAAAAATATCTTATTTTTGAATTTCTGACCATCTAATCAGTGTTTAGAGCGTCTGATCAGAGCTAGACAAGCTGAAAATAAGCCGATTTCTCAGTCATATCTCATGTAGGATACTAAAAAGTCAATGTTCTGGTTGTTTCTCTTGATTTTACGCTGTATAAAGGTTGCTTGACTTTCATTAAAATTCATTAATTTAGTCTTAAAGTGTATTTACACCAACCACATTTGGTCTGCTTTAAAAGCAAAAGAGTTTGTTTTGCCACTTAGTCTGGTCCTTTGGTGGAGTTGTAAATAAAGACCAGTGAACTCCGATCTGTCCCAAAGAATACATCTCTTTGGACTTTGCAAGCAAGCCACCATAGTTGTAAATATACTACCAAAATCAAACGTGTTACACTAAAAGTACAATTCAAAAATAAACCAGACCTAAGAGAATAAATTAATTCTGCTTTTGGTCTAAACAAAACAATCAGGCCAAAGTATTTTTCAGGTGTGAATACAACCTTATTTGTTAGAACGATGGCACTGCACTTGTTAAACACAATTTAAAGGGGTGATAGAATGATTATATAGGGTATTTGGTCTGGTCCTTAAGGTCTCTGAATAGGGTGTGTAACATTGGTTGGGCTGAAAATGGCATATTGGCTGTTCTATGAGTCGTAATGCAAGCCTGGTTAAAAGCCCTAGAATGAAACGACAGGTTTTCTTCCTTTTATGGTATCATGAATATTTAGATGAGCTGTGCGCTTATTGGTTGCTTTACAACCAGCGAAGCTGCTGAGCAAAGACGCATCATAGCAACAAGCACTCACTCACTAGGGGGGATTTCAAAATCATCAGGAATTTTGGTCAACTACAGTTCAGCTTAACCGAGTCGTGAGCTCCGGGGCTGGTCTGGGAATGGAGCGACCGAACCCGACCTGACGCCTTTGGCCCCGTGCTTCCATCAGCATACCATCACAGAGTCGGGTTCGGACCAGCCCCGGTACTGATGGCTCGGTTCAAATGCCCGTTCCGGTCAAGTCAGCGGCCCAAAGAAAGCCATTGTAAGATCTCAAATTCTTCCCCATTTTATAGCAATGTTAATCATTTCATTCCCTTTTAGAAAAAGTTGATTTAAAAATCTGGTGAGGAGATTAGGAAAGTGATGAAGCTCAGATGAAGATCATTGGACAGACGGTGCTTCAATGCAGTTTGGAGAAACGGGGGGGGGAAACCATAACCATTTTACTTATTTAAAAAAATGCTTTCAGTTAAAAAAATTAAAAAAAAATAAAACTGTACACGCATAACAAGCTAGCCTACTTACGATGATGATTCCTAAAGCTATTCATAATGTATAATAAATCTTTATGTAAATTCTTAAGAATTTATTTTTTATACAAAAAAAGAGATTTTTAGTTAAATTACAGATAATCAGTACATATAGACCACCATCTCCATTTGTTGGAAACCTGGGCAAAACCATCACAGTTACTACACAACTCTAAAGTGCAGTTTACAACATTAAACTTTCTTGGTGTTACCAAACCAATGCGTAACAAAAATATTATTAATAATTTAAAAATAAATAATAAATAATTTAAAAATGCAAACGAATGGATCTTAAAAAAATAATAAAGGGCTAAAGTGCAACTTTTAGCTTAACTTTAGAACATAGTAGCTTTTTTCACTATTTCATTTTTAGTAAATTGGTCCTGTATAAATCTCGCTTTAGGACTGTTCATAGCTGGTTTTTGACATTGCTTTGTTTTTGCTTTTGCCATTAAGAAAACTGCACAGCGGTGGTTTTTGTGTTTTTCAAGAGCTGAATGACAGGCATGGTTCCGGGTGGCCACGGTGACCCGCAGCTGACACCAATGATTGATCCTGGTGCAGGAATAAGTGCCTGCGCACAGCTGAGCGCACCAGTCTACTGAAACGCAGCCAGGCGGAAAATTAGAAATCTCTTCATCCCTGGTCCATTTGAAATCCGATATCTCTAGTCTTCTTCTCACGCAGCCACCTTTCCTCAGCCAATCAATCAGTAGTTAAATGGTGTGTTTATGTGCATGTGTGGGAATGCACAGAAGGGGGAGTTTTTTATTTTTTTGTCCTTGAGGGCTAAAAGCGTGCATGCATCCAGTAAAACTTCCTTTCCCTTCAAACACACCATTTAAAAAGGAGATACCTTTTTACACACTGACTTACACTTGTATGAGGTGCACCCGTGGCGTAGGATGCCAGTCGAATTTTTAACTGTGCCATTTGCCTCCTCTGAATGTTTTGAGGCAGTATGTGTCCCCCAAAAATATATTTTTTCTTTTGTCAATTTAAATGTTTCAGAAAATCAGATCAATTTAAAGAGTCCGTTTTCAATGTTTGCATTTTGTAAGAGAAAATCTATCCATACCAGGGTTTTACTATGCTGAAAAACTGAATAACTACCTCAACCTAACAACTGCTTGTCCCCGTGCGTCTTTGCAAAATGAATGTAATTCAGATAGGGACTTTGTTATGTGCTTTAGTGCATATCTTCTCCAAGAGAACGGAATTCATGGTTCTGTTATTTTACCCCAAGTTTTTCCAGGGCTCTCATTTATAAAACATTGTCTTGGATCCATACTAAAAATTGTACTGTATGTGCCAGAAAAATGAAAATTGGCTACACATAAAATTCAGATTTCATAAACCATGTGCATGCTCCCTAGTATTGCATTTTCCTTAACAAAGCACAGCTGCACTTCAAAGTTTGTGCATAAGCTTCCGCCTCATGTTCTGTCCTCTGCAGATGAACAGCATGGTCAGGTATCATAGGAGTCAGCCATACCGAAATGAGACAGATACTGTTAATTATATACTGTATGGTACATATGTCCCTCCGTTACTTTATCCTGGCTGTGATCATCCAGCTCGTTCCCAGAGACTGAATAATGCCTAGTAGGATGCTGGACAGTGGTGTTTGGAGACCTCCGTGCCTAAATATTTACCTAAACCAGCTTGCTTTCCTCAGGACCTGAAGCTTAAAACTCATTTATTGCTGTTTGTGGTGCCCCCCATATAATCTCCCGGGGGCCACATCAGGTTGGGAGAAAAGTCTTTACTACAGACTCTGTAGTATTATCATTTTATTCAGGTGTGGAAGCAGATGGACATCTTAAAGGTCTAGGAATCTGCACCTCCAGGACTGGAATTGAAGTCCCCTTATCTGCAATCAGTGTGCAAGTATAGTCAAATTATCTGGATGTCAAAACAAAACAAAAACAAAAACAAATTAAGTAGTTTTACTTTTTATAAACCCATAAGAGGAGTTTTTTTGTTTTGTCGTCTATGTTCATCACTAACTTTTATTTCACAATGTACACATGCTTAATGGAGCACCTATGCACCTAGCTATGCAGCAGAGCTTAACGCTGCTGAAAATAAGTATGATGTTTTTGTTTGTTTTTTTGTTAACCTCCTGGATGAATCCTCAGTGCATCTTTGGGGTAATTGTTTTAGCCATTCATTCATAGAAACGTTCAACACTGTTGCATTTCACTCTGATTGTGGACAGTGATTTGTTTATGATTAAGTACCAATGTATTAGAAATGACTGTAAGGCTTTTCAACCCAGCTGATTTCAATGACTTTATTATTTTTCTTTAGTTCTGGGTAAAATATAATCTTTGACTCATTTCTGTCAGGCAGGTTTGGGTCACAATGAATTCTTGATTCTCCAATTCTGGCAGTGATCAGAGAATTAATGTGAAGAATATGGTTTTTAATCGTTAAAGTCTTGATCACTAAAGGGGGAGAATTACTTTTTCCCATGGTTTGGATAGCTGTTTATCCCTTTCTAAAGGAAACCATGATTTAGTTTTCTAGTTTTTATTTTCTGTATTCACTTTAGCTATCCGTCGGGTATTAAAGATTGTTGCATAATCTGCAGTATTTAGAAACCATGGAGAAAATTTTTTTTTACGGGAACATCAATGCTTTTCTTACCATATTTGTAGTTCTAGTCTAATTGGTAGAATTTGTTTCCTCAACCTTAACTATTTATCCTTTTGTCTTTACCAGGTACATCTGCCCAGGGCAACCCGCTCCTTGCTTCTCTCCCAATGCCAGGGCGGTCTCTGCAGCCTCAGCTCGACCTCAAACACCTCCTGCCCTTCAGGCTAAATGGATCCTCACCCCTTAGCCTCTTTCCTAACTTTAATACGGTAAGTTTGATGTCATGACAAATGGAGCAGTAAATCTAGAACAGAAGGCAAACATTCTTTTGTGCTCAAAAATTTTAGCAGGACTAAAGCTCTTCAGCTGGGCCTGAGAAGAACTTGTGAAGTGTTGGGTAGAGTTAGCAGACATCCTGTGAGAACAGACTGGCTCACTTTCTCAAAATGATTTTTCTTTTTTGTATAAAATCAAAAATAGTCTTGTTGCATGCTATTTAACACTTGTAAGAATGAAATAAAGCAACTAATAGGAAAACATTAGTGTGTAGTCATAAATGTCTCGTTCACATTCATTGCTTCACATTTTATCCCTTTAGTTCACCGTTCACTAAAAATATAAACGTATTCAGTGAACGCCCTTCAAGCACAAAGCTGACTTCATATAATCCTCCAAAGAACAATTCAATAGAGTATGTAGTCATATATATTGATTAGAGAACCTCTGAATACTTGTTCCTTATGTAAACTGCAATATATATATATATATATATATATATATATATATATATATATATATATATATATACAGCATTTAATTAGTGGTGGGCATAGATATTTTTTTTTAAATCTAGATTAATCTCACTGTAATCTTGGAAATCATTTACAGTAGCCTAATCTAGATGATAATCACTCATTTGAATTCTGCCAAAGGCATTCATGATATGTCTGTGCTACCTCTAGAATCTAAAATATCAGGTTTACTTTTTTGTTTTGTTTTTTTGTTTCATGTTTGCAAAATCACATGTAATTTCGTCTTCCTACCTAAGATTTTAAGTTATAAATATCTTTCATTTGTTACAATTTTTTTGCTGCAAAAAATAGAGTTTCCTGCTTCCAATTAAAGATATCCCACTTGAAGAATACAGTGTCTCCAAAAATCCGGCTTTGGGGCAACAGGGATTGAGGATAATACTAAAATCTGTGTTTAGAATGTCTTTTGTGATGTGAAGATCCTGAGATTTTTAAAAATGTGCCATGACTCTACCTCTAGAGATGAAATAGGCTAAACAAATACCGCAGAAGCTACATTTTCAAAAAGCGTCCCACGTTACCCACATTCACCCAAGCAATCATCAGGTAAAATTAAATTTTAAATTACATAACATAACCTACCTAAAGTGAAGGAGTGAAGTTTCCATCTAGCATTGATGGGGTGTACAGTAATGCCGAGGTCGTTATCGTTATTGACAGATGTCCAATGGTTCCTCATCAGTGCTAAACACGTCACAGTAGGCCTCATAACACTGATTTTTGCTTGCCCCCAGCCTATATACATCCGCGCTAAAATATCAAGGGGAAAGTCATTACTGCGAGAATAGATTAATGGCAATTTTTTATTTATTTATTTTTTTGGTTTTTAATTGGAGGCTGCTCAGTGGGCATTGAGTAGCACTGCTGCCTTGCAGCAAGAAGTGTCATGGTTTTGGTTTTGTCCAAGTTTTATTTTGAGTTTTCATTGGTCTTATTTCGATTCTTGTGTTCTAGGTGTATTTGATTGCATTTGAGTTCATAGATATGTCCTGTTCGCCCTCCTGTGTCAGTCTCCTCTTCCCTAGCTCCCTTCTTGCCTCTGTTCACACCTGCTCCCAATCTGCTAATTAGCCTGGTCTTTGTTTCTCTCTCCCATATAATCTCCTCCTGTTCAGTCACTCTTTGCTGGTTTGTCTTCATTACTTTGTCCTAATCTTCTTGTGAGTGTTCTTGGTTTTCAGCATTTGAGGATTTTTTTAGGACCTATGATTTTGGATTTTTGCACTGCAATAGTGAGGGTGGTTTGACAGGACCCAAATGCAGACACAAAAGTTTAAGGTGGTTACTTAAAGGTTTAATAAGAAAAGTTCAACAGAAGCAAAAATCCCAAATTATAAATCCACAAAAAAATGCTAAAAACCAAGAATACTCACAACAAGGGGGCAAAGAAACCAGCCAAGA